TTGTGTTTGCAGATCGCATTGGAATGGCTGCATGAATGTTGCATGGGCTTTGTTGTGGGGAGGAAGCCGGAGCACGCAACCTTGTTTTTCCGTGTAAAGTGGCTGCAGGCGACGATGAAAGGTACCTTGTCTGTGCGGCGGGTGCGGCTGGGGTCGTTTCGTTCCTTCAATGTGTTTTGCAACACTGGATGGTCCTGTGTACGTAGTTCTATGCGTTTCTTGAGTTTGTGTTTGCAGATCGCATTGAAATGGCTGCATGAATGTTGCATGGGCTTTGTTTTGGGGAGGAAGCCGGCGCACGAAACCTTGTGTTTTTCCGTGTAAAGTGGCTGCAGGCGACGATGAAAGGTACCTCGTCTGTGCGGCGGGTGCGGCTGGGGTCGTTTCGTTCCTTCAATGTGTTTTGCAACACTGGATGTTCCTGCGTACGTAGTTCTATGCGTTTCTTGAGTTTGTGTTTGCAGATCGCATTGGAATGGCTGCATGAATGTTGCATGGTGCCGCAGCTGCATGCGTAATATTATCGTCTTTTGCAGCTGAAGATCGTAAATCGTATTGGAGTGGCTGCATCCAGGCTGCGAAGTGGATTTGTTAGCAGATTTTCTCCATTTTGGCGCTAGCGATTCTCCTTTTAAAAATCCTTTTAAAAAGTGCTACAAAATCGTCTTTTTTTCGCTTTGGCGTCGAGATCCGGTTTTGGAGCTGCAGTTTCCGATGCCGTTGCGCGTAGTTCTATTGATTGTGTTTTGCAACTGAGTCACTGCAGATCGCATTGGTCAAGGTTGCTTGGTGCAGCGGCTGCATGCGTAATACTATTGTCTTTTGCAGCTGAAGATCGTAAATCGTATTGGAATGGCTGCATCAAGGCTGCGAAAGTGATTTGTCAGCAGATTTTCTCAATTTTGACGCTAATAATTTTCCTTTTAAAATTCCTTTTAAAAAGTGTTTCAAAATCGTCTTTTTGTCGCTTTGGCGTCGAGATCCGGTTTTGGAGCTGCAATTTCCGACGCCATTGCGCGTAGTTCTCTTGTGTTTTGCAACTCAGTCCCTGCAGATCGCATTGTAGTGGCTGCGTCAAGGTTGCTTGGTGCAGCGGCTGCATGCGTAATACTATTGTCTTTTGCAGCTGAAGATCGCAAATCGTATTGGAATGGCTGCATCAAGGCTGCGAAAGTGATGTCAGCAGATTTTCTCAATTTTAGCGCTAATAATTTTCATTTTAAAATTCCTTTTAAAAAGTGCTTCAAAATCGTCTTTTTGTCGCTTTGGCGTAGAGATCCAGTTTTGGAGCTGCAATTCCTGTTGTGATTATGTACAAGAAAGCTTCTCTGTGCAAAAACTTTTTCTGTAAAAGCTTGCTGTGTGTAAAAGCTTCTCTGTAAAAGCGTCTCTGTGTAAAAGTTTCTGTGTGTGTAAACGCTTGCAATGTGTAAAAGCACTGTGCGTAAGTGTTCTGTGTGTAAACGCTTGCTGTGTGTGAAAGCTTGCTGTGTGTAAAAGCTTCTCTGTGTAAAAGCTTGTTGTGTGTAAAAGCTTCTCTGTTTAAAAGGCTTGCTGTGTGTGTAAACGCTTGCCATGTGTAAAAGCACTGTGTGTAAGTGTTCTGTGTGTAAACGCTTGCTGTGTGTGAAAGCTTGCTGTGTGTAAAAGCTTCTCTGTGAAGAAGCTTGCTGTGTGTGAAAGCTTGCTGTGTAAAGCTTCTCTGTGTAAAAGCTTGTTGTGTGTAAAAGCATCTCTGTTTAAAAAGCTTGCTGTGTGTGTAAACGCTTGCCATGTGTAAAAGCACTGTGTGTAAGTGTTCTGTGTGTAAACGCTTGCTGTGTTTGAAAGCTTGCTGTGTGAAAAAGATTTTGTGTGTAAAAGCTTGCTGTGTGTAAAAGCCTCTCTGTGTGTAAAAGCGTCTCTGTGCAAAAGTTTCTGTGTGTAAACGCTTGCCATGTGTAAAAGCACTGTTTGTAAGTGTTCTGTGTGTAAACGCTTGCTGTGTGTGAAAGCTTCTCTGTGAAGAAGCTTGTTGTGTGTAAAAGCTTCTGTGTGTAAAAGCTTCTCTGCTTGAAAAGCTTGCTGTGTGTAAAAGCTTCTCTGCGAAAGAACTTGATGTGTGTAGAAGCTTTGTAGTACAAAGTAGTACGGAACGTGTTTTGTGCAAGCTTTGCAGTACAAAGTAGTACTGAAACGTGTTTTGTGCAAGCTTTGTAGTACACAGTAGTACTGGGAAGTGCTTTCTGCAAGCTCTGTAGTACAAAGTAGTACTGGAACGTGTTTTGTGCAAGCTTTGCAGTACAAAGTAGTACTGAAACGTGTTTTGTGCAAGCTTTGTAGTACAAAGTAGTACTGGGAAGTGTTTTGCGCAAGCTTTGTAGTACAAAGTAGTACTGGGAAGTGCTTTGTGCAAGCTTTGTAGTACAAGTAGTACTGGGAACGACTTTGTGCAAGCTTTGTAGTAAAAAGTGGTACTGGGAAGTGCTTTGTGCAAGCTTTGTAGTACAAAGTAGTACTGGGAAGTGCTTTTGTGCAAGCTTTGTAGTACAAAGTAGTACTGGAACGTGTTTGTGCAGCTTTGTAGTACAAGTAGTACTTGAAGTGTTTGTGCAGCTTTGTAGTACAAAGTAGTACTGGGAAGTGCTTTGTGCAAGCTTTGTAGTACAAAGTAGTACTGGGAAGTAGTTTTGCAAGCTTTGTAGTACAAGTAGTACTGGAACGACTTTGCACTGGGAGTAGTGCTTTGTGCAAGCTTTGTAGTACACAGTAGTACTGGGAACGGTTTCGTGCAAGCTTTGTAGTACAAAGTACTGGGAAGTAGTTTGTGCAAGCTTTGTAGTACAAAGTAGTACTGGGAAGTGCTTTGTGCAAGCTTTGTAGTACAAAGTAGTACTGGAACGTGTTTTGTGCAAGCTTTGTAGTACACAGTAGTACTGGGAAGTGCTTTGTGCAAGCTTTTGTAGTAGACATCAGTACTGGGAAGTACTTGACATGAAAATAGCCAAGAAGAACTGAGCTGACATATGGGAAGACATGGAATGAGATGAGAAGAGCTCAGATGAGATGAGTTGAGATGAAGTGCAAGTGTGAAGTGTGGAGTGTGGGGTGTGAAGAGTGCAATGTGAAGTGTGAGGAAAGTGTTTGCATTGTACCGGGGTCGCGCGCAGGTCATGTTCTTGGACAGCAACACTGCAACAGCTTCGCACAAAGCACGCAGGCACGGGCCTGGCTGGCGCACGGCGCATGCAAGTTCCTTAGTAGTAGTACTGGGAAGTGATTCATGAAAGCTTAGATGACATATGAGAAGAGATGAGATGAGAAGAGATGAGCTGGGATAAGGTGAGAAGAGCTCAGATGAGATGAAGTGTGAAGAGTGAAGTGTGGGGCGTGAAGTGTGAAGTGTGGAGTGTGAAGTGAAGTGAAGTGTGAAGTGTGGACTGTGAAGTGTGAAGTGTGTGGAGTGTGTGTGTGAAGTGTGTGTGTGTGTGTGAGTGGGAGTGTGTGTGTGGAGTGTGGAGTGTGAAGTGTGGAGTGTGAAGCGTGAAGTGCGAAGTGGAGCTTCAAATGTGACATGTGAAACAGGACACCACTTTCGCAGAGTGCACGCACGCACGGGCTTGGCTGGCGCACGGCGCATGCAAGTTCTATAGATGAGAAAGGTCTTATATATATATATATATCTTTAAGGCAACTTCCGCCCCGCCTCGTGCGGGTACTACTGGTAGTGGATTTCCCATTAAAAGTGGTGATTTTCCATAGCTATGGGATATGTACTTAACTGGAATTCCCATAGGATCCTAACGGTGCTGCTATATATGGTGTGCCATGGATCCCATCAATATACCCCCAATGTTAGTATATATACCAGCACCATGGATCCGTCATGGGTTGGGATAAGCGACATCAATTAATTGCAATCTCAATTTACTCATGGTAAAGCCGCATGACTAAAATGTGTGATACAATCTTTGACAATGTCTGAAGGTTATGAAGTCACACAGACTCTATGATTTTGTTTGGTTGGCCCTTGGCAAAACATTCAGCTCCCACAGCCAATGTCAGCAATGGACCAAAGATCTAAAATACCAGGATTGAACATGGTGTCACCATCCTCAAATTCATTTAATATATAATCTTAAGCATTCACCACATCAATTTTGTTTCACCATATATATATATATACATATGTATATGTGTAAATAAATATATATGTATATGTGTGTATTATATATATACATGTATATATATATGTACGTATATGCATATATATATATATACGTATGTATATATTATATATACGTATGTATGTATATATTATATATACGGGTACGTATGTATGTATATATTATATACGTATATATATATATATACGTATATATATGTGTAAATATGTATATATATATATACGTATATATAGCCATTTGAAGGAATTTGCGACCCAAAATGAATAGATCTACTATATTTAGGGTTTCCCAACAGGGTCTTTTTTTCGGGGGAAGGAACTATGGTTTCGTACATGTCCATCTATGGCTACTAAGTAAACCATCCCCAATTGGAGATGTTGTATCTGGTATGCCACATCATTCATATATTCTACCTACCCCATACATGTTGTTTCTATATCCCCAAGTTTGGTTGGTCAATCTGACACATATGTTTATGTATATATATAATTATATATATAGATATCATATATAATCATATATATATATTATACATATGATCATATAATATCATATATGTGTTTGTAGCCCCTCATTAGTATCTTCATCCAATTTCCTGTAATCATTCCATCATCATGTCACCTTTTTATTGTCATGCTTGGGCATGGTTCGTCCCAACCCCGGGCACCAATGAATCCCAAAATCAACGGGATTTACGGGATGTTCGTCCCCAACAATGGACATGTTCATAGCTGGATTCATCCCCATGTTTGAGAACACCGATTTGGGTAGCAAATCCTCTTAAATCCCAATAAATCCGGATTACAATCACCATTTTGTCCTAGCAGCTCCTAGTTAATTTAGTAAAATCTCATTAAATATATTAAAATCCCAGATAGTCACCATTAAATCACCATGTTGTTCCCAACATTTTCCACAGCTGCCTGGCGTGGTTTGAAAACCTACTTCTTTGCGCTTACAGCTGCCACTCAGCGGCGAGGGAATCTCTGTGATCAGCGCCTCCTTTCGTGTGCGTTGTGCCCATACTTCCCAAGGTAAAATAGAGGTGTGTCAAACTATTAGTAAAGCAAAAATAAGCAACCCTTATTTTGAAGGTTTATACGTGTGTTTATATTACTTATGGACATGATAAATTTGGGGATGGTTTACTATTGCTTTACCAACATACTACTTTTTAGGTTGGTTTGTTACAAAACCAATCATGGTCATGGCTTAACTACTGGTACTTCCAGGAATGGTAGCAGTGCTTGCTATTCGGTCTGCCAGATTCTGGTTGTAACCGCTCAGAACTTTGTTTGTTAGTTTCACCTCCCTTTTGGATTGTTTTGGAATACTTCCCATCGGAAGAAAATGGCGTACTGGTAGGTTAACGACTCATCTTTCTTTTTGTCACCACTTCCCTTCGGGAAGTATTACATCATACTACATCAAGCTAGTTACTACGAGTACCAGTAATTGGTCAACAGTCACGATTGGCATGTATGTACTGTATGTATGTATCTGTTTCTATGTATATATATTGTTATTTATACATACATTGATATACCTATAGGCACCCAACCTCGGTCATACGATTTAAAAACACGGAAGTTAATAACTGCTGCCACTTCATAAAAAAGTGGGGTGATCCACCAAACTGCTGCCAAATCATACCAGCTTGGGCCACATTCCATTGGAAGAGTTCAAATAGAAACTGTACAATGCTTGTGGACAGATGAAAACATCTTCGAAACCAAACCCAAATCGTGAGAACGAGCACTGCAACACCTGCCGATTGAGTGCACCATGATTTTCAACATGAAGCCAAACAATAAATATATATATATATATAACAGTTCATGGACATATCCAAGTCCACAAAAAACAAAACGCTTACACAAAAGCTCTAATGTTAATACAATTGATTTCCAGCCTATTCAGTGGTGCCCCCCAGTTTTGTGAGTTGGTTCAAAAGCCCCATTATAACTATATATATATAAATTATAATATATATCTACCATAAACCCAATCGTTAGCATAGTGAAACAAACCGACTTAGCGTTTCGGATTGGGGGCACCACCTTGTATGGTTTATTTTATTGTGTTCACCTTGAAACATGGAGGATTTATGATGAAAATACCGGGACAATCATAGTAAATCATTGATGAAATCGGGATTTACCATAGATCCATAGCATATTGTCATATAAGTCATAATAAGTCATATATTGTCTATGACAAAACAAAAAAAATGTCTATATCATATATTTTATAGGTCAATATGATCCATAGCTATTTACGATAAACGAATGGCAATTCGGTCCCCCTTTGTCATATATATATATGTATATATATATATTCTATCATAAACATAAACATAGGGGGACCGAATTGCCATTGTTTCAATCTCTGTTTTTTCGCATGGGATTCAACATGATTCACCTCACAAAGTCGTCACCCTCGTCACCGGATGGGCAGATTGGCCTTGACCGGAGCCTTGACCGGAGGAGTCGAGGCCGTCGAGGCCATGGCGCTTTTGATCTTCTGGAAGTCCTGGAGCTTGGCAGGTCATGGCACAACTGCTATATCAAGAAATGCACTGCTGGCATCATCTAATTCTAAATGGTTCGATGTAATTATCTATCTATCTGTATGTATGTATGTATGTATGTATAGATATAGATATAAGATTTAAGATATTACGAGATTCTACATGAAAAAAACAAGATATGCCTAATCCTATATGCATACATAATACATGCATAGAGAATTGGGTGATATCGACGGTAGCCATCGTTGCATCAGGTCAGAGGGTGTACATATGATGTAGGGCTCCACAATTCTACTTCTAAACTCATAAACCAACATCAGTTCACTCTAAGAAAAAACATTTTGTTTAAGGTTGTATAACACAATAAACAGAACTCAGTTTATAAACAACTTTAAACCACATATGATGTTCATGTTCTTACATGTTACTCTAAGAACATCTACTTCTAGTCTTATTAGTTGTATTACATTATGTCCGATAAAACAAACAGCGACATTGATGGATTTCAGGGAGAACCCATGGGGCTAGGACCACACTCTCGAAAAAAAAAAAAAAACATCCACTTTGTCCTGGTTTGTCTATGCTTTCATATCAATCCAGCATCAGACTCATACATGCATGTAATATGTATATATGTGTGTACTGCATATATGTGCATGATTATACACCTGTATCTATATACTTGTCTTATATATACGTAATATATATATATATATTTATATACACGCTTGGTATTCCTTTGTATTGACTCTTCGTTGTTCAGCTCGTTTCCAACAACACGAAAACTCAAAGGCAGCACTCCTGGGACACCGCCTTCGGCTGGGACTTGGACGCTGCCTAGCGGCGCCATGGAGGGGTAGCCATAGATTGGGTGCTACTTATGTCATTGTCTGAAGATAGTTTCTATAGCTGGGGTATAGTATAACTGTATGGTATAGTTTCTTAGTCTATATGATCTATAAATATCTATAATCTGTTGTATCTCAATAATGTCAATATGCAGGCTACTTATGCGTGTCTGAAAATGGTGGATTCTCCAAATCCTGATATCAATCAATTCACCAGTTGGAGAAGGACTAGTTACAAGTTACAAGTAAAGTTCAAGCCGAGAAACAAACAAAAAAAACTCAAGCAAACTTGTGCCGCACGGGGGAAATGGCATGGACCCTCTGTGCAAAAATTTCTTCACCAATCACAGCCGGCTTTCACATCAGACCATCTTCGACCCCAAACCTCAGATCAAAATCGATCAAAATCGTATCAGTTTCAGTAAAGATTCACAGATTTAGCCTCTGGTCAACGTTTACAGTTTGCGAACTGGAAAATCCATGGGAAAATCACCATCTTTCAGTGTAAATCAACGGAACTACATGGGCCATTCTCAATAGCAAACTGTTAAATTACCGGTACGAGATTCGCTAAAGATTCCATGGATCCTCAATTCCAGAATTAGATGAGAAAATTTGCCGGAACCTCCAAGAAATTTGGTGGTCAAGACCCATGGCTTTCTGGTGAAAAAAAATTCCTTCTGGATCCAGTAGTCTTCGCGGCCTGCTGCTTTGCTGTGCTGGTTTTTGACTTACTTTCACCTCACAGCTTCGGTGACCATGGGAACTTATATGTGGAGAAAGCCCAAAAAAGTAGGGTGGTTTAACGGTTTAACCATGTTTAACCAGTCAAACGTTCTCATTTTGTATATATAATTAATATACTATATATCAACATATACTATAAATACTATATTTTGGATAAATATAAATATATATTGTATATAACGATTTTATAAATGTTGGGTGGTTTTCATTAATATATGTAGTAGTATTATATATCATAATACGAACATATAACCACCCAACACGGCATGATTCATTACACAACAGGGTCACAAAACATTGCTGTCCAGCACCTGGTCATCATTTGACGTGATAAAATGCATCGCCTCTTTCGCCAATGGTTGTTCTGTTGAGAAACATAGGGGGGTCAGTCAAGTTTCGTTTGGTATTGTGTATATATATATAATGTGTATATATATATATAATGTGTATATATATAATATTGTTTATAATATATATATATATATACTATATTATTATATGTATCATTTGTCATAATTATATAATCCAGCATGGTCCTTCAATGGGGTCGACCCCTTCTTTTCATAAACCAGTAGAAAAAGGACATCGATGCACGCAGACCGAGTGGGTCGACCCATCTGAAGCAGTCAGAATTCTTGGCACTCCACGGAGCGTGTTGAAATCCTCCATCTAAATCCATCTACCCTCTGGTAATTTAACATAGCTATTGAAAATGGCCATTTATAGTTGATTTACCTATTAAAAATGGTGATTTTCCATAGCTATGTTAATTACCGGAGGGTAAATCCAGCAACCTTTGATCAATCTGGCTGAATTCCGATCGCCAACAAGAGAAGTTGAGTGATCTTGAGAGGCTGTTTTTTCATATTGCACATATCATATATTTATATATGGAGGTTTCCTGATACGGGGGTAGCCATTTAACATCCAAGTCATCAGACTATCAGACCATGAAATAGATCATTTTATATAGTATTGAAACATATTAAAACCAGCATGGTGACTTGGGGATTCCCCCATGACTTAAGAAGCCTCCACATATTTCAACCAGCATCTATTGTGACATTGGCTTCACCTGGCCTGGTGGAAACTTCAGCATGTGCATAATTGGCCTCGGTGGCGGCTTCAGTTGGATTTCTCAAAGTGACTTCTCATCAACATCTTCAATGGTAAATGTTGGTCAAATGTTCACAAGTTCAACCTGAAGACACATCCAATGTGAATCAGGGATTCAGAAAAAGCAAAACCAGAAAGTCTTGCAGATCCTCGTGATCTCACAAGGCACTCAGAAACTCAATGGCCATTCCAGGATCCTAAATTGGAGAATTGGAGGTACCTACCATATATAAGGCCTATTTTTCAGGCCTATGTTTACGGGAATATCTCCACATAAATATGGCCTGAAATATGGTACTAACGTACCTCCATCTGTTGGATCCTGGAGATCTCCCATTGAGAAACATCATGGATCTCCCCGCTTCATGGCAGGTTTTTTTCGGCAAAAAATCCCACTGGCTGGTAGATTACCCGGCGATCTACCCTGGCATCGGAAAAACATGGAAACACATGGAAACGATACAGCGATACAGTGGGTTGGTTGACAGAAATGATACACAAATGAATTTTCCATTGCAATGATTGACTACAAGATGGTTGTGTCAACCACTGGCTGATGATATCCCATTTTCTAGGCCATTTTTGTGGCTACGGATCGAAACCTTTGGCACCCTGGAATTCACACTAAACCATAGCTGGCAAATGTGTATTCATTGCATAATTCAGTATATGCTAAGTCCATCAATAATCCACTTTCGGGGGTCTGTCTGTTAATACCGCCAAGTGGTTGGCTTTGGGTAATTGAGGTATTGTTGACCGTTTTGGTCTTATCACAAACCACATCTTACTGATCACCGATAATCACCACGTCGTTCATTCATCATTACTACGTATCAATACTAAATCCATTCATAAAGCCACAGGATGCTACATGAGTCCTTGGCGACCTACTGTGGATGGAGAAACTCTTACACCAGTTGGAAGCTATTGGGATTTGATGGGATCTTGCCCATCTACCAAGTGGTGCTGGATTTCTTTCATCCTTATCCCAGCTCATAATAACCCTCCATCGTCAAAGCCACCAGTCTTTTGCGATGGCATCGATATCGGCAGCATGCGCTTCCGCCTGTGCTCGTTCTTGTCACTTCAGCTGCAAAAGAAACATACAAGTAGTATGTATCAAAATTGATCCTCCAAATATGCTCAACATTATGTTAAGATATTTGAATGTTGATTGCTACAAATACCAAGACACAATATTAGAGAAAAATGTGTGTCTTGCGAATAGCCCCTGAACAAATAACTTAACATTGAACCCCAAGCTAGTTTCATTGAAAGTGCACCGGGTCGAAGGAAGCTATTGTACGTAAGAATCTACCCTCGCGCAATTTAACATAGCTATGTATATTTGCCCATTTATAGATGATTTACATCAGGTGTTGCATCTTAAAAATGATAGATTTCCACAGCGATATTAGATTACTCGCAATGACAAGGCATGGCTGGTCACAAACATAGAATCAACCAATGGGCCAGGCAAGTGATGACAGGATCTGGTAAGGAACAAGAAGTCTATGACCTTCCAACAAGACTTCATGCACGTTCATGATACTCTATTCGGGAGGCTTAAAAAAATGTGGTTATCAAGATTTGTTATTGGTATTACATGGGCAGAGTTTTTGAGCTGTCAATTGAAAAAACAACTTGTATGCTGGTACCTTGAGTGATAAAAAACGACACATTTTGTTGGACCACTAGAATCCTAATTTGCAAGTTATGGTTGAATAATCCTCCCAACCGCCAAATATGGGGACGTTGGGGTTGATTCCACATCACCATTGCGACGTGACCTCGCGAGGTGAGGTCGTGATCAGACTGATCCAGATGCAGTATATCAATGATATCAACGGATTAATCATATTGTTTAAAAAAAACTCATTATATCATTATACCCTCAATTCATATCCCATTCTCCTATAGATTTTTACCATGTCAAAATCCCCCGTGTTTTCTTGGTGATTTACGTCCCCAGTTCAAGTCGTGCTTTTTTTCAGGACCGGCCTCCCGTCGGTTCTTGGGATCGCGCAAGACTGCAGTGAGTTGCATCCTCCGTCGGTTTTTGGGCAGATTGGGATGTAAAAAACGGGATTCTCAACGGCCCTGGTTGGTGGTTGGTTGGAAAACCTATGGTTTAATATGGTCTGGTTGGTGGTTAAAAAACCATCTTGAAAAATGATGGAGTTCGTCAATGGGAAGGATGACATCCCATATATGAAATGGAAAATAAAAAATGTTTGAAACCACCAACCAGATTCTCCATCTTCGATTCTCCGCTATGATGATATATGATGAGATATTTAAAAAAAAACAGGTCATGATGTCATAGATTGCGGTGAATATTGAGAACCCACGCTATGATTTTTGAGTGTGTCCCAAACTGGGCTAACCCCCCAATCGATGGTGATTTAAGATGGTGAATACCCTGGTAATTTTCGCTCTCTGGATGCGGAAAATGGTGACTATGACACACCACGGGATGGGAGGACCCATCGAAAAATCTGGTGATATTCATTAAGCAAAAGGTAGCTGAGCAGCTGCGCAGCTTGCCCAAAAAACAGATTGGCGATTGAGCCCCTGGTCTCACACCAAATACCTTCAACTGGGCTGAAAGATCCTGAATTTTTCAATCATGATGGAGCGATATGGAAAGTAAAAGTAAAAATGCTTGAAACAACGAAACCACCGTGTGTAATGTAGATGACTGCAACTATATATGTTATATAACATTCCCGAAAATTTGCGGGCATCCAACCTATTCCGACCATTCTCCGACGTTTTTATTGAGGCCAGAGCAGGGACATCACCATGAGTTCAGGTTCCCTGAGTTCCGGGCACGATGGTGTTCAAGACATTCTTCGGCAACTGCTTATGCACATCTGGCGAGGTAAAAAGCGCCTAGGCTTCGACCCAGCTACATCCAGCCGACCCATGGGATTCTCCAAAGATCAGAAGGGGAAGTCAGGATGCAAGTTTTCCACGAATCAGCAACATCATCGCATGGGCGTGTCTTCATGGCCAGTTTATGCTTGGAAAAATGATGTTCTGAACCGCTGAACTGGGATATCCAGTGGTTATATCAACGTCGAAAGGGGTAACATGATAATGTTCATTGATTCATACTTTAATATATCTAATTGATATCCAATAAGGGTATAAACATGTGCCCTCCAAACCCTGGGTTCGCCCACAAACAACACATCCAAACAATATGATATACCTTTCTCCAGAGGATGAATGTTAACACTGACTTTGCGCAGTGATTTTGACTTTCAGTTTTCAGGACTTAGGGTACTGTAGTTTAGGGTTTTGGGTTTTAGGGTTTTAGGGTTTTAGGTTTTGTTGTTTTGGAAAGTAAAAAAAATAGACCTTGCGCAGGGATTTGGGCATGTGAAAGGATATGCGGAATTCGCCGCGGGCAAACCTAGGCTTTGCAGCGAACATGTACTATATAAAGTCGTAACAATTACTCATATCATATATTGAACATTTGGTATACCATGGTATACCGTATATGCCCCCTTCTCATGGCTAATTTAGGAAAAATAAGGTTGCCAATTCCCAAGCACTGGCTGGAATGGGGTATCCCAATGTATCCATGTTTTTTCCAGATCCCAAAATGTTCCACTTCCCAGCTGAGACCCTGCGGGGTCGCCGGGTGCCGCGCACATAAACTCTCAATGAGAAGCGTGTCATCTTGCGAGCTCTGCGCGTGTTCTGCCAGGAGCCTGGACCAGGAGATATCAAAGGCTACAGTGGTTGCCCAGCCAAATAGCTACCAGCAACGTTGGTTTATAGCTAGGCTAACTATGGTTTATGGATGTTGATGGATGTTGATGGATGTTTCTAGATGTTGATGGATGTTTATGGTAGATACAAGGAATTACATGGGATTTACAAAGCTCATGGGGCGAAGCTACCAGGACTCTGGCGGCTCTGGGTACATCCAATCCCAGTTGCTGAGTTTGGCGTGTCATGTTGGTCAAATCCAATCCCAATGACAATGGTGAAATCCATTTGGCTGTAGATCATAGAAATTTTCTTGGTGAAATCCATTATGATGTTCTATCAGTAGATCATACCCAGCATGTGGCTGTGGTCAACAAATCCCTTGGATGTTCTTCCCGTTGCCAGCATCCCTTTCTCAACACGTGCCAGCAAAACAAGTAGGCAGGCAAATAGCCCTTCCGCGCAGCCAAACGCAAGAGCACCACCGCCTAACCAGCTGTGATCACATAAATCTGGGCCAAATGCGATACTTGGTTTATTGAAGTTTATGCGCGAAATTAACTTATACTTATACTATTTTGTATTGATACTGATTCACTAAGCTGATTTGTGGTTTACTGAAATTTGTATATCCTTGTATCATCCGTGTTTATCCATGTTTGATCTTCTCGGTGGTTTGTTGATCGCCTGTCAAAAGACTAAAACTTGAACTTGGTCAGTGCATGCGCTAGAACCCTCTATACCAAAAAGAAATGACGCGATAATCCATCCAGGATATATTGCGAGGGCAACCTGATTGCGTACATCTGTCAGTTTGCATTATATATATACATAACATATTATACTTCATTATGTATCCTTGCGCATACATAATTCTCAACTGAAAACACAAGCAAGCACACAACATGTGTTGATGGCCTGCTTTACATCAAACCCCGTTTGCGTCGTTTCTTCAACCAGAAGCACAGTGCACCCAACACGCTGACCTGAAATAAGGCCATTTGGGGATGATTCCCCTTGTTAACGATGATTCCAGTGAGGTCACTGTGAGGTCACTATAATTTGCCCAGATTGTGTTCCATGATATTCCCATGACATGTCCATTATACCACCATTAATGTTGATCAAGTGACTATTTCTATACACGTATTTATATATATATATGACTTTAATATGATTATAACCCCATATTATCTTGGTTGATAAATAACTATAATCCAATATAATCCGATATAATGTTCATCTTAGTTGTCTTACTGCTATGGATCGCCTTCTTCCCATCGACTTGCAGCAGTGATCGCCCTTGACCTTTGATGACAAAGTGCGGGCCCAGGGTGATTTGGTAAGGAGTGAAGCATCAAAAATGGTGATTTAATGAGGATACCATGGGATATAACCATCAAACATGGTGATTTGATGCGGATATATATACATGATATGATGGGATATAAGTTGATATAACCTACTTGGAGGTGCAGTTGAGGCGATGTTCAAGGGGTATAATCACGGTGTCATAACCTCCATGAGAATAATTATATATATATAGCCCTTATAATTATTCTTATAATTATGGTTATAATTATGGTTATATATTCACTTCTAACTGGAACTGCACCCCCAAGTATGGAATGTTCAAATAATTCATGTGGATATAGCGGTGGGTATGACATTTACGGGGAATGTATGGATACGACGGGAGCTAGCATGAGCTAGCATTTAGTATGTCGCTACTTAATTGATCTCAATTGTACATATGGGATTTAGGATATACTATCATCACATGAGATATGATGGGACTTAGTTGGGTAGACTCCAAAATGGAACCGCTGAGGAAAGTGATAAATACCACTGGATTTTGAAGGGTAGTCAGTAGTTACCCCCTGTGGATACGACCCTTTACCATCGATTTGCAGAGAAGTACCCTCTGGTAATCAAACATGGCAATCGAAAATCACATTAGCAGCTCCATTAATAGATGATTTTCCATTAATAGATGGTTGACCATTTGGTAACCAATTTATAAATGATTTTCCATTAACAGCTCCATTTTTAGGTGATTTCTCATGGTTTGACTCCAGGAGGGTATCCCTAAGTAGTTTGTCCTGGTTGATTTACCCGCGATGCCATCGAGGAAACGACCCGCAGATCCCCGATCCACATGGAGGTTTTACAGGGAAAATAATCTATGAATCATAACTATCCATCAATGACAATCATGCAGATCCAGGACAAACGATAACGGATCAGCGAATTACACAGGGAATGCAGGTCAATATGGAATATATGAGCAGCCAACAGCCAAAATAAAACAGCGTGCCCTCCATTCAAAGTCTCTTTCAAAGCTCTTACTCTGTTGCTCGCTCATTAATCTCATTATTACTACTTGCTTCTAATCTGGCATAGTTGGAAAAACCACAAATGTCCCCCCATCCCGCATGTTTATGTAGATGATGCTCCTCCCAAACAGGAAATCACAAACTATTTTCTGAAAATCTAATCCTTAACTTCAAATTTCCCACGTACATCTGATGTGTCTCATATTTTCCATTATTTTCCCCTGAAATTTCTCATGAATTTCCCATGAACTTGTCCTCCCCATCCAACCTGAGTTTCCAACTCACTAAGCGATGGATCTCCGGATCACTGGGAGGAACCACCGGGATGTCGTTGGCACCGGGTGCTGGCACAGAGTTCAATGCCTGCAGCCTCGGTTGCCGATCCCAGTACCCTTATGGTCCTATGGTTGATTCATGTTTACTATATCCTGGGTTATATTTCAGCAATTTTATCCATATTCATCCTATTATACGGTGGTTATTACATATTATTTAATCAATCTCTGGTTTAATATACCCATTGTTCCATCTTTTTCCCATCAAAATTAAGCTGTTCTAGGGGTCTTCCCATTGAACAAAAAGATACAAAAAGAACAAAGTGGACATCAACAACGATTTCAAAATGCCCTAAGCAAATGCTGGCGACAATGCATCCCGCGTCGTCTTGTCCTGGAGAAGCTCTGCCGAACGATTTGCCGCTGGAACTGCTGGAGTGGAATCTGCTCCTGCCGGCGGAAGTCTCATGCTGATGTCATGGAAATCTGGGCGGACCCCAACAATGGTCCTGCCCTCAGTTGTGGTTGTTGAATTATCCCCTAAACATGGGTTTGTTGGCCAATTATATCCATTTATGGTGATTAAACACCCCTGAATTAGGCCTTAGTTGGTTTGGAAGATATCTTTGGAGGGTGCCCTTCGATTTCCATGGTGCTGGTGGTCATGACATTTGCTGTGCGCCCAAGGCCCAAAAAGGTGAACGAAAACATTTGGTATACAAGCTGAGGCCCCCCAGTTATGTGTGTTGGTTTACGAACCTCAAATTAATAATATAGTTGTATCATGTTGTCTCCCCCATTTAAAAAACAAAAAAAACAACGTGAAGCAAGTTATGTGCTCCAAGGGCCACAGGGGCGCGGGCCTTTCTTTCCAGCCTTCTTTACTTCCCTGCTGCAGAAATGGTGATGGAAATGAATAGACATAGCAGAATAATCAGAATAGCAGCGGATCATCGTACAACTTGGGGTGCATTAAGGGTGGATTCATTGTGGATCCATTAATTTGGGGGTGACCTAATGTGACCTACATTGAAGATTCAGCCAGATCATCATTCATCCAGCTCACACCCGGCGAATCTTCTAGTTCCATGTCATCTCTTTCATCTTTAAGCAGTGCAAGGATCGGATCTCTCGAAATCACACAAGGATTGGATTTCGACTCTGATTTCTATAGGTGACTCGATGCGAGTTGATAGTTGATTGACGATATAGTTAATGATACTCAATGGAGTTGATTGATAGTTGATGATTTGATATTATTTGTCAGTTACAGTAATTCTTATCTCCATCCATAGACCCCAACCTTCATCAACGGCGAGGACATGGTCCCACTCTTGCGTCTTGCCCTAACGGAACCTACTTGAACGTTCATCCCGGGAATCGCTTTTGGGTTGTCCATGTACCCTCCGGCAATCAAACATGGCAATGGAACATCACCGGTTTGTAGATGATTTTCTCATTAAAAACTTCATTGGGGATTTCCGATTGCTAAATATGAAGTATGGATAGCAATTAATTAAGATTTTAAACTTCATTGGGGATTTATACCATATACCAGGGGATTATTAAAAACTTCATTGCTATTCCTAATTACCGGTATGGATGATCTGCTTGTATATCCCGAAATGGAGTTGAATACCATCCAATGATTAACTGAGATGCTGATCAGTCCCTTCAAAGGAAAAAAACGCGCCTGGGTGCTGCCTCCTCCTAGGCACAGGGGTCATCCGCACGTTCAAATGGAAATCATGTGGCATGACTATGGAAAATTATGGAAATGTGAACCCAAACATAATTTGTTAAATTCTATGTGTTCTGGGTAAAGTGCAATATTTCACTAACTTGAAAATTCGGCTATGTTGGGATAGTTACCCCTACTAACTGTTAGTTTAACTACCATTCCAGTGAGGTTGCAGTGAGGTCGCAGCCAGGTCGTTATAATTTGTCGTTATAGTTTATCTCAGATGTATTCACCTAGTCCTCTCCCCAGAATATTGCCTAATGGTTCTGGCTTCACCTCAGTTCATGCGATTTTTTTCAGAAGTGAGATGTGGGAACGGCGCAGCCCACCTGCCAAATGGGCTTGCTGTATCTTCTGCGTCAAAGTGAAAAGCTGAAGGATGTTGGATACATGTGGATGCCTCAGTCAAGTTCTGATACATTCTGATGGTGAAGTCAACCGCTAATCATGATCACATTGTTCACTCTCCAGTCCAGTCCACATAGCTACGATGTTCTTGGTGATTTCCATATCTGGTTGGTGGTTGACCTACCCCTCTGAAAAATATGAGTTCGTCAGTTGGGTATGAAAGTCAGTTGGGATGATGAAATTCCCCATATATGGGAAAATGAAAAATGTTCCAAACCACCAACCAGATATAGTTCACACACTTTTGGAGGTTCAGAATTCCCAGTACTGATTGACCCCCAGTTCCTTCCTAGGCGGCTGTCCCTGCCTTCGTCTCTTCCTTCGCAGGCGCAGGGGTGGGATTTTCCTCCATCTTTTCCTTTTGGAACGGCTGTCAAATGATCCGCCACCAGGCGGTTTTTGTGCTGAACCATCCACTCCGGGTGGTAATTCAATACTGGTTGGTGGTTTTTCGCCACCCCTCTGAAAAATGATGGAGCTCGTCAGTTGGGATGATGAAATTCCCAACTGAATGGAAAGTCATAAAATTCCATGGTTCCAAACCACCAATCAGTAGCTATCATTTTGAAGAGCCACAACCAGCCAGAGAGCCGTGTGGGGCCACGGGGTGATAGACTATAGATGGCCAATCTGTGAGGATGGGTACTCCAAAGCATCCTGGAAGACTCCTGGATGATCATCACGTATTGAAACTCATGGTGATGACTGGGGATCTCCCATTTGAAGAAGCCCCCTGGTTATATTGGTTATGTAAATGGATCTATCATATAATTATATATATAATATATTATTAACAGGTGATATCATCTGACTGGTCACTTGGGTGAAAAGTACATTAGAAGTAGGGCAATGAATGGGATTGAAAACGAACACCATGTATGTGTCCCAAAAATGAACAAACATCCTTGTTGGATCTTGTTGGGACCATTGCGACCATTTTGCGGCACATTCGCAAGATCCTAACATCCTAATCCTTGCTAATTTTGCTAAAGAAGTTAGTTCTTCATATTCCAATTCCAAGTTTGTGGCCGAATCCCGAGTTGGGCTGATTAGAGCCTCAACTTGGAGCCATATGTGGTCGGAGATCTCCATTTTGTGACCCAACCAGCTTGTTGCCAATATGGTAGTTTTTCTCCCATTCTCACTCCGTGTTGTTTGTATATCTGTTTTTTTCCTGTTGAACCCTATTTCTTACTTTAAGAAAGGCCATTTCCCAATAGCAATTCTATGCACCCTATCATTGCAAATCATCGGTGGTTTCTGTTGTCATCGGGATCCCAATTTCTCATCCAAGTCGTTGATCATGGGGAAACCATGGGAAAAACATGTTGGGATACCTGTTCGAAGAAAACCTCCGCATGATCCCGTTTGGTAATATGTGGCACCTCATATACCATCATATACCATCATATACCCAATTTGGATCAACTTGGTCATTGCCATGGTTTCCCTCCGGTAATCAAACGTAGCGTGTGGGAAAATCATCCATTTGAAGATGTTTTTTCCCATCAAAATATCCATTAAAACATCCATATATCAATCATTTGTAGGGAATTTCAATTTTCATGGATTTTCAACCTGGCCATGTTTGATTACCATGTTGGGTATTTCTTGGATCCCCCGATCCTCCAAGTCCCAAGCGAGGAAAAGCGTCGCCTTGGCTTTGGACTTCTTACCACGTCTGGCTCGAGCTTTGACGCCCGCCTGTTGCAGTGAACTGGTGAGATTTGAGGAAGGTGGTGTTGAAGTAGTTTTTGTCAACATATTCTGGTTGGGATGATGACATTCCCAATATGTGGAAAGTCATAAAATTCCATGGTTCCAAACCACCAATCAGTATTTGATTGAAAACGTCATTTCATCTTTCCTCTTAGGGATCTTTTTGAATCTACATGTTGTTCGAGCTAAGTAAACAACTGCACAACACAACATCTCGCCAACTTTTTGGTCGGCAGCACTCCACTAGCTGCTATCTTGCGCCAAGATGCGCCAAGGTAATGAGAGTCAGCACCAAAACTAAGTTACACCACTGCATGACTGTATCGCTGACTTGAGTCAATCTTGTTGTTCACAGGTGTGGCGAAAATGTCCTGGGACAATTGCCGCACCACCTCGTTGGCACGTTCTAGCTCTGGGAACATCCTCTTACCATGGACATAGATGCTTTGCACGAAGAAGTCTGACCTTGAAGAAAACTCCAAGATCAACTCGCTGCACACGTTTTCAAAAAGAACCCGGATGGTACTTCTTCCACCTCTGCCTTGTTCGACTGTGTTTTTTTCGGACTTGGTGCCTGCCACAGAAACAAGCCATGTCAGCGATTCACCCCTGCCCGGCAAACAAAAATCAACACACACTGCAGTGACCTCTACTCGACCTCCCATGTCAAGAATGTACTGGCTCTCCCCTATGCCTCCTGTCACTTTGTTCATCCTGTGCATCAGCAGCTCTCCCCCCCGGCCATGCTGCTGTAAGCATTGCAAACTAAACCGGGCTTTGGGGAACACACCTTGCGGGTGGCGGCCGACCAAGAAATAATCCATGACAGCGTCACTTTGCTCGCGATCCAAATGCTTTCTCACCTTGTCAATGAAGAAGTGCTTGGACAGTTGGGTGAAGCGGATGTGCGGCAACATTAGACGGAACACTGCCTCTTGAAGTGCTACTTCACTCGGGCCGATACTGTTGTCATGAGTGGTGGATTTTGCACGTTTCTGCGCAGCATATGAAGTCACATCTGCAAATGGTCCCAGCAGCTCTGGTTTCTGAACAGCTGCAGCAGACCACTCCATCAATCGGTCCCAAAGCCGTTCTTCATAGACATAGAACTCATCCAACTTAATCAAACTGGCGATGATGGAACTGTGGCTTTCAAGAAAGAAGGGAGACTCAATAACGCACGAACTTCCGGCCAAAATCTTTCTACAAAACAGGTGCCGTATTTCCAGAGGCAAATCGAGGGAAAATTTCAAGGACTCTGTAAGTAATTGCAAACTTGTTGTGCAGTCCAAGTTTTCCGTATGTTGCAAGTACCCAAGGCAATACTTTTGCAAGTCATCAATCATGTACAGCCTTGCAGCTGTGAAGGCATATAGGGCCCTGCGGGGAGTAAGTTCAGGTTCCAAATGATATGCACTCCGCATCATCACGTCGAAGGCATCAAGGGTCACATCTTCCAGAATGAGTTCACGCGTGTGGCCTTCCAGAAAATCACCTGGCAATGTAGAAGTTTGATGTAGGGGTTTGAACCCAGCCAAAAACCATTTGGAAGGTTTGGGACATAGTAAGACTGTGAGACAAACAAAAAACATACTTGAAACCACCAGCCAGTCACCATACAAGGCAGCCTTCAGTGGCTTGGAGATAGCTGCCAAAGGCGCCCGAATGAATGGCACGCGATGACGTGCAGGTCCTACAAGGGCCACAGCATCACATAGATCTTGGTCGACCATCCAACTTTCCGACCACTTGTCCTGAGCCTGTCTGAAGTCAACGTCAAGTTCCTCACTGGGGAATTCCACGCCGAACTTTTTACCTGGTTGGTGGTATACTTACCCCTCTGAAAAATATGAAAGTCAGTTGGGAGTGTTTATTATATGGCAAAATAAAAAATGATCCAAACCACCAACCAGTTGCTGTCGTCAAGAAAGGCGTTCAACCCTTCATCACGAGGCTCAAAGAGGTTTGATCCACTTCCTCCGAGACCTCCGAACAGACCTGACAGACCTCCTCCAGGTGGACCTCCGAACATGAAGCGGAGCAGATGTGTGTGATTCTCAATGTGTATTTGATTGTAGAATCATGGTCATCTCATGGTCATTTCATGGTCATTTTCTGGTTGGTCTGCCTCCTCCTGTACATTTCATTTGTGTATCATGCGTTTCGACAAGGTTTTTGAGGGATATGTATATATATATATACATATACTACATGGTCAACTACATGTCTATTTGAAGCCATGGCTGCCTCGAGGCAGTGCCATTCCAGCACGTCCGATGTTTGACTGAGTTGGTTGAGTGCACTGGTTGACATATTGGCACGGTGCAATATACAAGTACATGGTTTGCTCTTGTGATGGCACAGATCCAATTTATTCTTGTTCCGTTCTATCCTTTGAATAATGGAGAGTGCGTAGAGTAGAGTAGAGGACTCGCTCACAATCCTTGAGCCATGGAAGAATTCTCCCCCAAAAGGTGGCTTGTTACATGGCAAATCTTGTATGCCCTGCCAAAAGTTATGTTTTTGCTGTTTAGCTTCAATTATATGTATGTAAGTGTGTATATATATATACACACATACACTTATTGAATTCTTTAAAGAGTAGGCTGTAGCAAACTGCCCATCCAGCTGGTTTCCCCAGCATATCCAAGCATTTTCAATCTGCCATAGCAAAGTTCATGTCCAGTTCCCCTTCCCCGCCTTGGAATTCTGCTCATCACCTGGCCGTGAAGTCGAGATGAATGTTTGACCCTTGGGGGTTTCGGTGTTTTTCGTAACATTTAATATGCCATAGGATCCATGGTGCTGGTATATATACTAACATTGGGGGTATATTGATGGTAAATGTTACCATATATAGCAGCACCATGGATCCTATGGGTAAAGGAAATGGGAGGGATAACTAGATATCACATTTAACCTACAAAAAAATCTAACATTTAACTTACATTCAATAACATGAAATGTGGGAAGGTATATTGTAACTGAGATATGTACTGATAACTGGAAGGTTGTAAAGGTGAACTGCCAACTTTTATGTGTTTCATAACATTTTGTGAACTCCCATGATTGATCAGTTTTGGAAAGTACCACCCACCTGGACTCCATAGATTAAAGAAGTCATCAACCTAAAAAGTTCAACCATTTGGAGATCATTCTCGTTGCCGGCCATCATTCATGTCGTGACGTTGCAGTGAGGTCGTTGTACCTGGTCCAGAAGTGTAATGTGAGATAAACATATAAAAAAAAAATCCAATAATATAATGTTGAACATCGAAATTTACAATTGATTCAAATTAGATGTATCAAAATCATAAACTATATCCTAAATTTCCCAATATGTTGAATATCAAAACTTACCAAATTAGCTGTGAAGATTGGGTCTCACAATTCTGGACCCATTGATGCATCGACCCCTGGCCATGACACTCTGAAATGGCTTTATCCCAGTGTTTCTGGGCTACAATGTCCGGATATGTTTCTGGGCTTAATGGCCCAGAAGGATCATTAACTCAATGGCCATTTCAGGAACCTAAATTGGAGGTACCTACCATATATAAGGCCTATGTAAGGGAATATTCCCCCAAAATATGGCCTTATATGGTACAGTACCTCCATTTTAGGATCCTGAAATTCCCATTGATTGCCTCTCCATTTAGGTGTGAAAATTGGGGGTACCAATTTTGAGGCCCACAAGTCATTGATCGATACCAATTCCGGCCATGTTTGGAGGGATGTTAAAAATGTGGCCACTAATGCCACTATAGATGTTGCGGAAGAATGGGAAATCAAAAAACACATGAAGCCCTGGTTTAAATCAAAAAACAACTACAATTTGTACCCTCTAGTAAACTAACATAACTATGGAAAATCACCATGCTATTAATTCTTGTAAATCCACTATTTCGACTGGGCCATTTTCAATAGCAAACTGTAACAAATTACCAGAGGGTAAAAGTGTAATTTTACGAGAAATGGGTGGAAGTATCTACGCCAGAGGCCTGCAGGATCCGAAATTTTCGACCTTGGTGTGGGCTGAAGTGGGGTGTGGGAGATGGATGGTTGGTGATTCCTCCTGTCTAAGACCATCCTAACTATGGAAAATCATGGGAAATCACCATTTTCAATGGGTAAATCCACTATAGAAACCATTGTTGAGTTTTGAATTTCAGGGAATTTCTGGGCCAGCTGGGAGAATGTTCATGTTTTGGGCTATATCCTGTTACCTCGGCCTAGGCCTCTCCATCCCAAGTATCGTTTCTTGGGGTGTATTTTATCCAAGGTGGGGATGATACTTTTATGATCATCTATGTAAATGTATGATATATATTTGTATATATAACTGTATATAATAACTGTATATTATAACTGTATATTAGTGTGTATATATATAATCATAATGTGGATATGATATGTTTGAAAAAGGAAACTCTCTGCTCATGCACGTGAGCCTTGAGTTGGTCTACATGGTGCTTCTAGGCCACATGGACACCCACATTGCAGGAGTAGCATAGATTCAGTGCAACAGTCTCTGGTTGGTGGTATAACTTACCCTCTGGTAATTTAACGTAGCTATGGAGAATCACCATTTTTAATAGGAAAATCCACTATAAATGGTGATTTTCAATAGCTACGTTAAATTACCAGAGGGTAATCTGCCAGCCCTGGGACCACAGTTTCACCAGGGCCGGGACTGCTCGGGCTCTGGGGGCGTCTCCAGGACGGCTGGCCTCGGGGTACTCCCTGGTGGGTGGCAGGTCTCAAATCATCCAAAGGGATTATGTAATGATAGTGGTTATGTCATACCAATAATAGTGGTTATATATGGTTATATGATGGGATTGTAACAAATTATATATATAATCCTAGGTCAACCAAATCCTGAGAAAATGCGGGATGGACTGGCGAACCCGGGGTTTGAAGGGTCATCCCAAGAATTGTTGGGAAGCAAGCATCAAAACCGGGTTTTGGTGGGAAAACCTTGATTTACCATATTTTGGAATACCCCCACATAGCCACACAATCCCATAGCCATTCTGGCTTGATCTTTTTGATCTTTGATGCCAAAGAAGTCCAGTGGATCCAACGGCCGGAGTCTCAGCCATAAACTCCTGGAGGTGGTTTGGTCAAAAGAGAAGGAACATGATCTATGATCTATGCAACTAGTGGCAACATGATTAGTTGTGATCATTCACAGGGCCATCAGCTTCCATTGGGATACGATTAAACCAGTGCAAACCTTTTGCCAGGGTTTTGGCCCAAATCGTTTTGAAAAGGAAGAGTGAGATAGTGGCATCTCACGTTGCCATGATGCAATTTGATTGTAGTGGTCTGGCTGAAGAATGGGACCAATCCGAACACATCAGGGCTAGGCTTCGTGACGGACTGCCTTTAGCTGACAGCATCCAGAAATCCCGAGATTCCTCAATTGCCCAGTGCATAAAGAATGTGGACGTGCTGAACCCGCTACTGCACAAGTTCTACACCTGTGGCTTAAAGTTGCCGGAGATCGAGCCACTGCGGGAGCAGGTTTCAAAGGTCTACTCTTTGTCTTCTAGGACCCCGTCTGAGGACATTGTGGACGATGATGGGTGGGAGCTGAAGAAAATGTTGCGTTTGCTAAAGCGCAAAGCCAACCGTGGAGAAGTGAGTACAGAATTTCAGCTATAATTTATGGAGGGCATATCTGATTCTATCATATTACGGTACTTCGAATTCACAGTAATTAATGGGGCAAAAGGTCAGAAAATTGGCTGTGCAGCAAACCTAGGAATTTGACTTTCAAGAACTCGTTCTCATCATTGCACCGCAACTCCAGGCTGGGTTTTTTCATGCACAAATCCATTTCACTTTGACCAATTGTCCAGTTGCAATCCCATATGATATGTTCTATCGTGAAACATCCTACCCCCCATCCCTTATGCAGGATGCAGTGAATGAAGCACGGTTCAAAGCAAAGGCTGGCCATGTCAGTGAGGACCCTTGGGCCTTGATGGCTTAATAAAGACAATATACTAGAGTATGTGTCGACCCTACATCATGTTTCGAAACAACCTCACACAATCACAGGACGATGATGAAAGCCAAACTTCTGAAGAGTCTGAGAGCGAAGAGGCTGAGGGAGAGGACGCCCGCAGTGGGCCAGGATCCACTGCTCCACCCGTCCCTGAGCCCATGCCCGGGTCTCCTCCTGTGCCGCCAGTGGAAATTGTCACTCCACCGCCGAAGCCCTCAGTTGCAGCTGAGACAACACCAAGCCCAGTAAGTGTGCCCACAGGTGGGATGATTTTTACTGTCATAAAGTTAACATGTCTAATTTCCCATGGACATATATAATAGAATATTGACATACCGTATATTAACCTCCATTCTACTAATTATATGATATTATATGCATGTTTCTGATTGGAGGTTTGGATCTCGTTGACATCCATCTCTACCGCCGGAAGAAAATCTTGGAGGAACTGGAAGCAAGACGAGTGATATTGGCTGAGAACTTTGATGGCATTTCCCATTTTCACATTTTGTTGAATACTTTCACATTTTGTCCCCATCATCACCAACCAACTTAGGATCAAAGAAAGAAAAAACGTCAAGCCTGCCAATCTTGGAGATCGTTTTTCCCAGGCTGCCAGTGCAGGACTCCAACAAATACGGTTCTTATCACTGAGCATATTGTTCTATAATTTGTTCTCCAGCTTCTAAAAATCTAAAGTTTTGTTTCGCCCCACCACTAGGAACAGCTCCTGTGGTGAACCCTGATCAAGTGGACACGCAGCCTGTGATGGTCATGGACCTACCAACAGCACCATCACCTCCGAAGGTCCTTCCCTCAAATGAAGATCCGGCCATGCAAAGAGAGAAGTACCAGAATGGTCATGGAGGTTCTTCAACGCTTGAACTTGGAAACCCTGGGACTTCTTCCACCCCTACACCTTCAGCTAGCCATGTGAAAACCACCACAGAGGTCCCATCGCCAGCTGAGGGCTCGTGCTCCGACTCTGAACTTTATGACCAGGTCCTGCACAGCACTGTGTTGGGTAGTCGCCAGTATTGGGGGCTATGGTTTCTATACTAATCCTGAATTAGACCAGATTACCTTGTTTATTTTCTCCAAGTACAGTATCTCCAAGTTAATTGCAACTTTGAAACCACCACAAGCCCTGGAGGTGATTACCCGCCGAGATCAACTTGGGCACAAGAAGGACAAAAAGGACCAGGAACCACGTGGAAACCGTGGCCGGGGTCGGGGTCGTGGGGGTGCTCGTGCTGGTCGTGGACGAGGTCATAAGCAACTTGCAGAGGAAGATGATGATGGAGAAGAATGTGAACAGCCACCAGCACGCACCAAGGGCAAGAAGACCAAGAAATCCGAGTGCCATGAAGAGAAACCCAGCAAGGCCAAGAAGACCCAGAAACACGCTCAGGCAGAGGATGATGACCAGGAGCCCATGGAAGAGAAACCCGCCAAGGTGAAGAAGACCAAGAAGTCCACCAACACGGAGGACCCTGAACCCGAGGAGAACATGGAAGAGAAGCCCACGAAGGTCAAGAAGACCAAGAAGCGTGGCCAGGCAGATGATGATGACCAGGAGCCCATGGAAGAGAAGCCCACGAAGGTCAAGAAAACCAAGAAGTCCACCAACACGGAGGACCCTGAGCCCGAGGAGAACATGGAAGAGAAGCCCACGAAGGTCAAGAAGACCAAGAAGCGTGGCCAGGCAGATGATGATGACCAGGAGCCCATGGAAGAGAAGCCCACGAAGGTCAAGAAGACCAAGAAGTCCACCAACACGGAGGACCCTGAGCCCGAGGAGAACATGGAAGAGAAGCCCACGAAGGTCAAGAAGACCAAGAAGTCCACCAACACGGAGGACCCTGAGCCCGAGGAGAACATGGAAGAGAAGCCCACGAAGGTCAAGAAGACCAAGAAGCGTGGCCAGGCAGATGATGATGACCAGGAGGCCATGGAAGAGAAGCCCACGAAGGTCAAGAAAACCAAGAAGTCCACCAACACGGAGGACCCTGAGCCCGAGGAGAACATGGAAGAGAAGCCCGCCAAGTCGCAGAAGAAACACAAGAGGAAGAATGCCATGCGAGAAAGTGATGCTCCTGCACCTGCTGCCTCTTCCAGTTCCAGGCGATCCCGTCGTTCGCAAAACATGCAGTTTGTCGCTCCCCCCGAAGCCGATCAAGCCCGTGCAATCAAGAAGAAGGTCGAATACCTCACCTCCTTTGTTTCCAAGATTGACCATGCCAATTTGGAAACTGATGATCTGAAGTTCTATATCAAGGAGAACTTGACCAATCATTTTGGCCATGAGCACCTGCCCTTGAACATCTACTGGAGCCGTCGGGCATGTGGGGTTCGTGTGAAAACTGTTGATGGTGTGAACAAGGACCCCTTCACATTCTCATTCTCGAAGAGTGGCAACACTAAGTCTTTGCAGCTGGTGGTTTCCGTCGCAGCAGCGGCATACTTGGTGCTACGGTTTTGACTTTGCAACCTTCTCCATTTTTCCAAACATCCTATCATTTTAAGCTTCTGCAATAGGATACCCCCCGATTTCCCCAAGGTCATGAGAAGTATCTCTTTGGTGGTTTCTTTTGACTGGACTGTCCAGGCTGACTACATCGTCAGGGAGGAGTTGCTGCTGGGTTCTTGCATTGATGAGAATGACATGGCTTTGGAGTATTCCCAGTACAAGGCTGCTGGCGAAACCGTTCTTCAGCGAATCTGAGGATATGAGGCAATGTGGCACCACATTCATTCTGATATTCCACCTGAAATGGTGCGTTTTGGCAGTATGATATGTCAATCCTGGGTTCACACAGTGAAACTGTGTACGTTACATTGGGTTACCCCAGAACCAGGGGTATCTTAGAATTGTGATATCCAAGGTTCTGCACACGACGCTCGCTTTCAGAGCTGTGCTTCCAATGCTTCACAATCCATCGCTATAGGGATGTACATTTTTTTGCAGTACGAAGTAAACCATTTTAAACAGAAATGGCATCATCATCATCCCAAACCATTCTAAAGTTTATTTGTTTAGTGGAACGATGGCATGAGGCAAACCAAACCAGACTAGGCTCCACTGCCCACTTGTCCTCGTCATGCTGCGGGATAGGAAGATCCACTTCGAACCTGTAGCGAGGTTGGGCAAAAAATTGGCAGCTCTTTTGCTCAGCTCTCCATGATTCATGTGTTGAAATCACCAGTTGGGACCAAAGAGTTGCTAGTTAGACAACTGGCTTCTACACGATTCATGTTTTCAATCACAAGGCCATTTCAGGACCACACATGCGCTTGCACACTGTTGCATGTGTTATTCCGATCTATCCCTGCTGAGGTGTATGGAAGCGACCCGTTGTTTCCAGAGCAAGGCGTGTGAGGAAATGGCATGGAAAGCAATGCCGTACAACTGGCTAGTTTCCGTTCCAGCATGCTGTTGTTTCCAACCCATTCCCCCTGTGCTTGTTCTAGGGTAGCTGCCGTCAGTGGGTAGGCTCAAGAGGTAGAAACATAGGATCTCGTGGCCTTACTTGTGACAGTCATGGAGCAACGCTGGGCCCCATACAATGAACAGCGTTTGAATCACCTCTTGTGGGCGGTGTCCAAACTTGGGGCACCTCGGGTGCCTTGAATTAATACATTCCAAGAATGTTCAAACATTAGTTCAAACTTATGATGTGTATGTAATATATACATGAACAAAAAATACCAAGCCAAAAACCACAACCACCAGACTCGCTCAGGTGTTTCTCCAAGTGCTGGTGTTGATCTTCTACACGGAAGGTCTTTTCAACTTGGACGAGGACAATTTTGGGTCAATGGGTTTACTGGTCAAACATGTTGTTTAATTTGCAATTCTATTATCCCAATTATTCCCAACAGAAGTGGCTTTGCGAATGGTCATGAGTGGTTTTACCATGATAATCCAACAATATTCCAGCCAATGTTTTTTTCAGGGACAACCGATAGACCTATCGTCCAAACTGTTCAATATTTTGTATCGCTTCCCATACAATCCCATACATACCCATTTCCAGAGGTTCCTTGGGGTAGCGGTGCTGCCGCTGGCTGCCCAGGAATTTCACTGGTTGGAGTTCTACGCAGGGACCGCCAACTGCACGGCAGCCATGCGGCGTGCAGGTTTTACATGTGGAAAGTTTGACATCCTTTACTGTCCAAAACAGAAGCAGGGATCCCGAAAGACCAACTGGCATGATATGATGACCCCATCTGGATTTGCGCAACTCAGCTGGTTTTAACTACAAGTTTTGTTTGCCTTGACATGCTGTTGCATTCCCATCTTAGATTCTGCTACAATTTAGCCCGGCTAAGATTGGCGTTGGTCTTCTTGTTGAAGGCCAAGGTTGGCGACTGTATCTCCTGGCTTGCAATTGAATGTTCCAGCTTTACCGCCGTCAACAGAGGAACATCCAAGCGCAGTGCTTCAAATTCTGTTGGAGATACTTCAGCGCCTTCAGTCTTGCTGTCCAATGGGATGTTGGAAAGGACCACCCAGTTTTGTTTGTGTGCTTCTATGTGAATGAAAGATTCATATACCCATACATTCTTAAATTTCAAGAGAAACCATGCCTGTGTCCCAGGACTATATTGCTTTTGATGGTGTGTGCTGCGAATTGCGGCGTTTGGATTCTAGAACAGCCTGGAAATTCCGTTCTGGAGTTTTATCCGGCCTTTATCCACTTCATCAAATGCCACTATGACTACTTTGGGAACTGTGCTGCCCAAACCCTAGCTCCATGTTTGTACAAGACACTGTATCACTATTGTATCTGTGGTCACATATTCCCACATTTGTAAACCTGTTTTCAAATGGTCCCCAGTGCTTTCGCCTGCTCAGGTTCACCGGGTAGGTTGGTGGATGTCGATGTTTGGGGCTGCCACGCCGAAGCGTCAATATGCGTGGAGCAACAGTCGGGCCATCAGAAAGTTGGATGTGGGGTGGAAGAGGATGAAGGCTAAGGTAAAAACTTGTGAGCACTACTACAACAAAGCTGGGAAAAAGTGCTGGAAAGGAACACGTTTTCTTAAGCAAACCCAGCTACTTGGTTGAATCTACGGTTATGACTTGACCTTGTTGTTGACATATATTTACAATTTATAGGGACCCTGCCCAAGGTAATTATGGGGGGAGCCCTGAAGCAATTTCATGTGCCTTTAACATCAAAACAGTAATTTCATGAATCTTTCCATTTCCCCGTGAAAAGGCCACACCATCCTACCCAAACATCCCTATGGGTCTCCATTGGTTTCCTCACATTCAAAAGTGGTTCAAAACAACATATGGTGGTACCACCTATGTTTTTCTGTCGCTCCTACCAGAACAGTGGCTCAATGGATTTTTTGAATGTTATATTAAGCATGGTGTTTGATTGTTCAATTGTCAACATGTCTTGGTTTCCTCTCCAAATGGGAATGTCTCCAAATAGGGGATCCCGAAACTTTTAATTTCCAATTATAGAAATAAAGTTTGGGTTATTTTGAGACATTCCCAAATGGTAAAGCCTTTAAAAGCCTGCAGCTAAGGGAATACCCAGTTCCCTTTGCCAACAACATCGCTCAACTTCGTGGGGAACTCGTGTCTTCCCGGCCTTTTGACCCACTACCACCAATGAGATTGCCTACTGGCCCAGAAATCTTGGATGCCACACCAAATGACCAACAGGGTCTTTTTGCCACGGCTGACCTGCCAGCAGTATATACATATTTGAGAAGGAGAAAAGGCTTAAAGCTTCCACCTCACTGGCAGCCCTACATGCCTCATGAGTTGCCTGAAACCATACCTTTCCTGGAACAGGAATTCTAGATCTGCTCTTCGGGGCCGAACGAACTTTCGGGGGCGAACGAATAGGTTCTTAAGCTTTTTTGATGAAATTTGTGCCCCGAGCCATTTCCTTCCGAAAAAAAGTTGGGAAATGCCAGGAAAACCCATAAACATCCCATATTTACCCATAAAGATCCCATATTTACCCATCAAAATCCCATAAAAATCCCATGTTTTGGGAAAACCTGGGTTTCGAACAACCCGTAATCAACCCGTAAACATCCCATAAATAACCATAAACATCCCATAATTTCCCGTAAACCAAAACCTGGTTTTTGGGGGATGATTTTGGTTAGGCCCCGATGGATATTTTAGGAGACCGTTTGCCAATTGCACCGTGAAATTCGGAAACGCGATTGCACGCAGAGGTGAGCTGCGTGAAAAGAATACCCCAGATGTGTTTAAGAATTTCCATGGCTGTTTTGAAGGATTACCCATACAGCATTTACATTGCACAAGGCTACCACAAGTGTGCACCGGTGATTACCTCTGTTTCTGAGGCCCCGAGGTTCAAGCACAGGCTGGTTTCAGTTGACCCTGATATGTCCAAAGCGTGGTCTTGTGAAACTTTACAGGCAGGTTTCCAGGACGTAATGGCCGAAGCCTTGTCTGATGCCGAGATATCAATGATGAAACAAGTCGAGGACCCTGAGTGTGATGTTCGGTTTTGCAAACAAAAGTACACCGGCCAAAACCATAACAGGACCTACCAGCTCATTGCTGTCAGGACTTGCAGCGTGAACTTGCGTCTATCGATATAGCCCTAGAGGCTGCCAAGAATGCCATGGCCTCATTGATTTGATGTTTCCAAGTTCATAGCTATTTTCCAATTCGGGGCTTGACGAAAGAAATCATTTATATAGAATATGTTTGATATTGTTTGATCATAGCTTTATGTATCCAATGCCCTCAATGGCGCAGCAGTAAGGGGATGCAGGTGGGAAATTACATGTTTCTTTCATCAAGCCCATATAAATTAAGATACCTAACACCCTCAATGGTGCAGCAATAAAACGATTCAGGTGAGAAATTACATGGTTCTTTCATCAAGCCCACATAAATTAAGATATCTATGTAATCCCCCCAATTGCAGGTGGGAAAATTACACGTTTCTTTCATCAAGCCTTGAAATTTTGATCTAATCTAATGACATCAAACTCTGACCCTCAGGTTCCCAAAGATGTTGCTGGATCACCAGAATCTACTTCGACACCATCATCTACTGAAGTGACTGAAGTGACCAGCCCTGCCACGACTGTTCCAGAGGATTCTTTAGTGCTATGAATCTTTTGTGTCATTTTATGTTCTTGCCCAATGTCCACCCTCTGCTTCCGATCAGTTCCACCGCCGCTCTGCAGGACCCACCTGCTCCCATGGATTCCCTGGAGCCGACTTTGGTTGTGCCTGAGGAAGGGCAAGCCTATCCAGTTGCTCTTCCTGGGGACGATGGTTATGTGGACCCCCCACCGTCACCTGGGGATGAATCCAGTTTGCAAAGACTTCAAAAACAATTTGTTACACAAAGCTGATGGTAATATATTTCTCTTTTTTGTGTTAGTTCCATGTTTCACCAAGTATTCCCAACAGAGTAGAAAGGGTGATCATCCTACATGTCTTATCCGAGGAGGTTGCCGTTGATGACCTTTCCGTTCAGCTTGCTTTGGCTTTTGGTGGGGACATTCCGGTGAAAGAGGAACCAATGGATGGAGATCACACTGGAGGGGAGAGTGGGGGACGAAGTGACAAAGGTGATACACCAGTGCAAAGTGAGGGACAAAGTGACAGAGTTGATACACCAACGGGATCTGGGGCAAAGAAGAAACGAGTCCTCACACGTCGGGAAACTTTGTGGTTTTTACCAGTATTTTTGCATTTGTCTTACAAGTAGGGCCTGAGTATGGCAGCATTTGCATAGGAGCGAAACTAGTTCAGGATTGAAGTAATTATCTTTGGTCATCCCGCCCAATGGCTAAGGAACTCCTGCGCAATGCTGCAAAGGCCCGAATTGCGAGGATGGTAGCTCCCAAACGTAAAAGAACAGATTTGGAGGTCCCAGACTTTATCAAGGAACAGTGGAGCAAAGGTACCCAGGCAAAGGAAGAGCTTGCAGCAGCCCTTCAAGATGCTAACTGGGACAAGGCTGGGACCATTACTGACAAAGCCATTGCTAGCCCATGCTAGTCATAGTTTCTCCCACAGAGTTGGAAAAGATCAAGTTAATTCGCAGTGCCAATCGATGAGGCTTGAAAGTCCAAGTTATTCTGGTCGAACATAAGTATTTGAAATTCTAATCATGAAATCATGCCAACTAGATATATTCCCAATCAAATCCTTGAATCCTTTTCTGACTCTTCCCTGTAATAGTCTTTTCCCGTAGTTGCTCATACCAGGCCAAGTTCGTTGATATCGTGGAAAAGACTATCCTGAACAAGAACTCCGTCAAACTTACCAAAGATGAGGGTTGGTACTCGGAGCAGGAGATGAAGTCAGAGTTGGGCTGGGCCCCGTAGCTATACTGCATGTTGGCTGAGTCCAAAAAAAACAATAAACAATATGTTGAAACTTAAGTAGCGACCTTCGGTGATTTCATAATGGATCTTTTGCCCAAGGCAAAGAATCGCTGGTGCAAAGGCTTTCTGCCTGAAAATGAAAGAGAAGCTGACCAGGTGGGTGCCCGAGAAAGTTTCCTAACCATGACAGCTGGGTGCCCCCACTCTTGTCCACGGCCAATCCTTTCAGATGGGTTTTGGATTTCACCTGCGCCGCGGCGAAGGACAAACATGTATGACAACGTTGTGGAGTACTGGGTCACGGTGAGGGAACGTGGCAGTGTTGAGCAACTGCACGAAGCCCAGGAACGAACATCTTCCACAAACAAGGCCCCTTATCCATGGGGTGGTTGGAAAAACAAGTGACTTGAACAGGTAAATAAAGAGCTTTGCCTTGTACATCATATCCTCCCTTTTTCCAAACACAATTCTATGCACAACTGATCCCAAGAAAATTGCCAAGGATGAGGAATACCTCTTTTACTTCTTTTTTGGTAGGTTGGGAGAGACTACAATAATGCATTGTGTGGGGGGTCCTGATGCCTTCATACCTTGTGACTTACATAGTCATCAAACCAAAGCTGCCGGCTGCACTTGACAGGCAGACGCACCTGTTGCGATCGCAGCGGACGCTTTCGACAAGGTCAACGCCTACAAGCAGCTGTCAGCACAGGTTCCATCATCAGGTGGTGGTGGAACCGACCAGGACATTGGCAACAACCAGACTTGTGCTCAGGCTAGTCCTCATGTTTCCGTATGTGAATTAAATTTCGTTCAGGGTAGCCCAACAGTACCATTGTGTGTGTATGCGTGTGTGTGTGTGTATGTGTCTTGCGTTGTTTTTTTTTGGGACTTGCCGCATTGCCCATCCCTGCAGAACAAAGACCACTTCAAGAGGTTCATGGAGAGCATGCTCAAAAATGTCACGAAGTTAAAGACCCTGAAGCGTGACCTCACTTCGCATTACACAACTGCTTCGATCGACCCGTCAGCACCTCATCATGTCCTCCAAAAATGCTCACAGGTAACAGGTCAAAATTGCCTGGGCCATCCCAGGTCCATCAAGCTGTTGAATGATCACATTGCGAAGCTGGAGCAAGAGTATGACTTACTCCAGGAGGAGGTTGCAAAGGGGGAGACAAGTGACTTTGGATCAGGGTTGGAAGCTTATCCGATGACAAATTGAAAATCTGAGGGTTATTCAAAATCACAGTCAGTGCTCAGAGGACCCAATTTCTTTCTCTTGTTTCTTTAACTCCCAATTTCTGAGGTGGTGGGCCAGCGCCAGCGAAAAAATGAAGAAAGCCACCTTTGTGTTTGGACCTCATCAAAACCATCAACGCATTACAGTCCTAGCGGACCTCCAAAGAAACCCCATCCACGGTGCCAAGGTCCAGCCGTGCCTGTGCGATTGAGTTGAAGGTCAGGCTTCAACCTCAGCCATTTGATCAAGTGTCCAGACATGTTGCTTCAATAACAACATATGATGCTCAAACCTATGAATTTCAATCAAACCTGTTTGTTCAAAATATTTGGGGCATTTTTGGGCACATAAATCGGAATACAAGCGCATACGATAAGAATCCTTACCGTCTACTTGATTTTTACAGCTCGATTCATGTCAACAATCTGTGAGCCCAGGAAGGACAAACCGTTCATGGAGAAAAAGGATGAGCCGGAGACTGGTGACCGCAGTGAGAAGCCACGAACCAACAAACGAAAAGAAGTAGGATCCACTGAGGACAAAGCACCCCAGCCAAAGAAGAAAGCGAAGAACGAGAAGAAACACAAGAAGGACAAGAAAAACAAGAAGTAGGTCTCACCAATTTCGCCTGCTTTGGTCTCTAGTCATATCATATTTATTTTAAGATTTGGACCTGTATGGACCTGTAATGGGCCCAAATTGTCATTGGAATGTACATGCTGCCGCAATCTGCTGAGAGTCTGCTGAGACCCAGGCATTCCATCGTAGTGGGAAATTTGCTGATGCTCCAACGTGCCTCAAACAGCCGTTTCAACTTTGTTGTTTTCATGGATGGTTCAAACTGTGGAGCATCCAAAGCTGTGTGCGTGTTGCGTGTTCAACACACCTTTTGACATTTTACAAAAGGGAGAAACCCTTTCTCATGTGTATCTCGAGCTCAAAGCCTGCAATTTACCAAGGCAGAAGGGGCTGTCTTGCTCAAACAACAGGGGTAAGAATTGCAGCTATGAAAAAAAGATGAACAAGTCAATTGCAGATCCATTTGATATTGCGACTGTATTTAGAGATGCCGCTTCAACTATGACCTGTGAACACCTTGAATATTTCAGGCCCTTTACACATGATGGCACAGCCAGTAAAATCCCACTTTGCCAGGTTCCGGACCTGGTCTTCGACGTTTTGTCGAGGAGGTGGCAGAGGGCGTGCTCAACTCAGTGGCTACCAGTCAGATTGCAACTGGCCAACAGTCTTGATTGGCTGGCAACATCTTGAAAGACCAAAACTTTTTGTGGGGCCACCAGTGCATAAGCCATTCTTATGATTCATGATATGACCCTTTGAAATCAGCAAGACCATTTTAGTATTTATGCCATATTCCTGTACTTTATCTATAATTACAGTACAACATGTGGGCTTTGTTCAAAAGAACATGTCTTTAGTTCAATGTTTACTGTAAAGGGTAAAATATGAGTTTATAAGTTGTGGATAGATAATGATAGATATACCACGTCAAACTCCTTATGTCCCCAGAATTCATTGGTGCCCAATGAGGTGCCATGTGCGGTTGCTATTCGCACAGCGAAGTCAGTGATTGCGGAGGTACCCCAAGCAGCTGAATCAAGTATTGGTGCTCTAGGCCGGTGTGATGAGCGAAACCCTGAACGAGATGTGCACAAGCTGACTCACAAATTTAAATTGAGCCTCCCAATCCCGCTGACAAATATCCCAGTTGGTGACAAACAAATACCAATTTTGCGGATGTCTGACTGGGCCCAATTCATCTTGAACATGAACCTTTGGCATACGCTATGCGGATTGGAAAAACGGAATGAGATGCGTGCAGCTCGGATTTGGAAATGTTTCTGGGAACGATACAAAGTGATCCACCCCAACCACCCGGTGTATGAACAGGGCATACCTTTGGAAAGAACATGTGCTTTGCTACTTCATGGCGACGAAGGTCGGTCGTTGAAAAAAAGTCCCATACTATGTGTTTCCACTCACAGTATTTTGGGGTACGGTCTCTCCACTGCGCAGCCTGCTGAAAAAAACAAAGACTTGGCGATGAAACTCAACTATGAGCAGCCTACTTGGACTACGCGTTTCCTACTCAGCGTTATGCCGCGTCACATTTATGAAGATGATGATGGTGAAAACTTAGATGCCTTTCAAGACTTGATGGGGTCTCTTGCGCAGGATATGAGACGCTTGTCAGATGAGGGGCTTTTGGGGCTAGACAACAAGCGGTATTACTTTGTTGTGCTCAACATCATGGGAGATTGGCCATGGATGTTGAAGGCAGGCTGCCTTGCACGGACCTTCCACAACGCAGCTAAAAGAGCAACCTCCCGGGCCCGTCCAAAAGGCATATGCCACCAATGCTTGGCAGATACTGATGGATATCCATGGGAGGATTGGGCCAACAATCACCCCAGGTGGATGGACACCATCAACTGTGACAGTCCATTTTTGAGACGCCCAGCGCTGTTGGATTTATTGCATGATGAATCTCAAGGTCCGATGTTTTTTTCCTGGGATCTCTTTCATGCTTGGCATCTAGGAGCAGGCAAAAGTTTCCTAGCATCTGCAGTGGCAATTTTGGCAAATTCTGTTTTGTTTGACGGAAACAGGGATGAGAGGCTTCAAGCTGTTTCTTCTGCATACAGTTCTTGGTGCAAGGCCAACCGCCAAAATCCTACTTTGAAAAGTTTCACGATGACAAACCTGTCATGGATTGGCAACACTTTCCCTGCAGGGACTTGGTCAAAGGGAGCAACAACAACGTGCATCCTCAAATGGTTTGTTTCGGAGTGCCAAGGGCGTTACAACGAAGTCATCCAAGATGAACTTCTGATGACTGTTTACAAAAGCGCTCGCAGCATGAATGAGTTTCTTCATGGTGTTTACAGCTATGAACTATGGATTCCTTCCGCTGTGGCATCCGAACTGGCTGGGAAAGGTATGTATTTTTTGAAGAAATTTGGAAAGGCAGTCAAGCTTGCTGTGCGGGCATCCAAGCTGTTTTTTATTCAGTTGCCCAACTACCATCGTCTTCAACATATTTTCCTGGAACTTCACAACCAGGCCCAAAAAGGGCCTCATGCCTTGAACCCCTTAGCATGGGCAACCCAATCCGATGAGGATTACATAGGGCGACCCTCCCGGATTTCCCGGAGGGTCGACCCTCGAACTACGGTAGAGAGGACGCTTCAACGATCTTTAGAAGCAGCGTACGCAAAGTATGTAAGCGCAGGCCGGATAGTGCCAGAGAAAGCTGGTTAGACTATTAAAAAAACCTAGCATCCTAATCCTATTGTAGATTTTTCCCATCTTACACCCTGTCAATATAAGATCTATTAAAAATATCACCTTTACCACAACGATGCCAGCTGTCTTTGGTCCCCGGCTGAAGTTTCAAGCTGAGTTCTGCTCCATGTCGCTGAGCAAAATGTCCGCAGTGAAGTGGCCACATGTCAGCACAGGCAAACCCGGGTTTTGGGTTGGAAACCCAGGTTTTCAAGCATATCCCAGAAAAAGGTAGGATGCTGTGGAGCAAGGATTATATATATATATATATAGTTATATGTATATATATATATTATATATATATATGTATGGTTGGTGTTTTTTCGCCACCCCTCTGAAAAATGATGGAGTGAAAGTCAGTTGGGATGATGAATTTCCCAACTGAATGGAAAGTCATAAAAGCCATGTTCCAAACCACCAATCAGACAAACTTGTATTGAAAATTATTGAAACATATTGCAACCCATGCTTTGGCAATGTTTTGGAGATCCATTTTGAAGACTGTGAGATACCAATTTACTCTCCAGTAAATTAACATAGACCCTGCCAGATAGGGGTTGGAAGATTAGTTTCCATTACAAATTGGTGATTCTCAGGGTCTATGTTTATTTACTAGAGGGTAGATCCTATATTTGAAAGAATTTTAAAAATGGAACTCATAAAATCCAGTTCAAGTTGTCAAACCACAGATTGAAACAAGTTGCCAGAAATTCTGTCTCCCCTTGGCGGTGATAAAAAAAAAACAACCAAGGACATGGGGACCCAGAGCTGTAGGATGTCAGATGTTGGATTGACTATCCTCAGATCAAATTTCATCAGTACCCTCCGGTAGTCTAACCTGGCAAAGGAATGTTCGATGGATATACAATCCATAGGTCGACCAAATTCACCAAGGCTTTCTGACAAAATGCTTCACCACAGGCTGAGAATTCTCAATCAACTTTGGATCGCGGCTCTCCAGTACTTGGGGCCAAACATCAGGTGCAACAGAATATATTGTATATTATATAATGTATTGTAATATCTTGGCTCCTCTAAAATTTTGTGTGCCAGCTGTAACCTTTCAGAGATTAATTGTTATGACTCCCCTTTCCTGTTGCTCATCTCCCCCTTTGGGTGTGAATTCACATTACTACCCTGCTTATGGCATCCCAAAATGTTGTCGGAATTAATCCTCAGGTATCCGGTAAAATACCTAATTTCAAGAATGCCTACAGCTTCCTATACTGATCTCCCCAAACTCTCACTTGATTTAGGGCAAACAATGGCAAACATATACACGGGAAACCAGTCGAAAAGAATGTTATTTACCCCCAAACAACTCCAAATTCCGATCTAAATTGATCCTCTCCAAAAAAAAACTGAAACTTAGGCTGTTTTTACCTCAAATCTCTTTTAATCGTCCCTCGGTATTCCCCAACGTGTTTTCCCTTGACTCATCCCTGGAGGCAAGTGGCGTCACTTCGCCCGTTGGCTCCGCAGCGGCTTCCTCGTTGATCTCCGCCTGTTCCGCAGCGGCGCAGGCTTCGACCGGCTCCGCAATGGGCGTCTCTGCTGGACTTGGGTCCTGCGGTAGCCATGTAGCTAGACAGCCATGGACATCACTGGAATAAAAGGCAGTCTCATGTGGACACCCGTAAAACCCATTTGAGCAGTGTGATAGTGATGAGTCTGAGTTGAAACAAGTTGATGGATTGTGAAAAATTACCCCCATATGCAGTAGATATGTAGATTGCAAGAGTATAAGATCTGATTAAATCATAAATCACCTGGGCTCTTTAACACATTATGATACAAAAAATGAAATTGTTTATTCTGGTTGCTTTGCCAGGATTTCTACAGTGGTTCCATAATGTTCCATATGTCCTCGGATCACTTCATGTTATGATGATTACCAGCCTGAACAAAATACTCATCCTTACTTTTGAGTACTTTTGATAGGATTTCACGGGCATATCACAAGAAAGTCATGAAAGTCGGTTGTCACATGTTGTGACCCTCTCCGGAGATTCCAATGCAGAGGTACCATTTCCAGTCCATCTTCTCCTTCTCTTCGACTGTCTTGTCATTCTCCTCTGCCTTGATGTCACTCTTGTCCCCTTGCGGTGCCTACATGTCACATGAAGGAAACAAGCCCGGGCCCAGTGTTCTGTGCAAGAAACCGATTGGTAGCTCCAGTGACTGCCAGCAATATCGGAGCTTTAAGCATAAGCGTGGATCTGCAAGAATCCTCAACGTACAAAATCGGCTACATGTACATAGTTGAGCATGATCGATTTGTGACTTTTTGGAAGAATCAGTTTCATGTCAACATATGTCAACATACCAGAATAGACTTAGCATCATCCACTCAACTACTATAGTGCTTCACAGCCAAAAGCCACAATCTAGCCACCAACAGCCTTTTGGGCAGCTTCGTCAGCGGCACCTGTGGCAATCATGGATGTTCATCCACCATGTTCAAACCCCATACCATTACTGTTGACTATTATAGTGACTATATATCCCGTACCATTACCATTACCACTAAATACCTATTAATTAATTATATAATATTTATATAATTATATAATATATATATATATAGAGACACCCGTATCAATCCCCACTAAACTGCCATATTTCTATTGGTGATTTCCTCACCAGTCGAACTGGGCCTGGGGCTTTGATGGCAAATCCCACACTTAGATGTCTTTTAATCCTCTCTGAATGGATCTGTTTTCTGATGTGCTAAAACCAACAAAATAAACCATCCCCAACATATAAATACATATAAATACATATAATCCCTAATATCATCTTGATGGTAAAAACAATGGTTTCCAGTTACCCTCTGGTAAATTAACATAGACCCTGGCACATATATAGGGGTTGGAAGACGAGTTTCCATTAAAAATGGGTGATTTTCAGGGTCAACAAGTCTATTTACCAGAGGGTAATCCCTAATATCACCTTAACATGGCTGGTAACTATGGGAGTTGATGTCATAGGATTTATCGTAAGATTCCCAGGAGATGACTCAGATGACGCAGCGCAAGCCAGCGCGCACCGCGCCAGCGCTTGCGCCTGTCTTTGGCTCATGGGTTTCACCTTTCCTGCCGTGGGGACACCCATGGACACCATGAAATCCAGAGTTTTGATGAGTTTAGGAAGCTCAAAAACCTCAAACTCCGCAGAAAAATGACTGTTGTATCAAATCATATCGGAGTAATTGATGCGTATACAGGGAGAGTAAGAGACATGATGATTTTTCCACAAAGTTTGAATGCCACAAAGTTTGGAATGTTCCAGTGATTCAAAAAAACTGACCTTCTTCTGAAGAGTCATGCCAGAAACAACAAAAAAACACAACGCCACGCCACGTCACCAAGCACCGCAATGAGAGCGACACATGCGACACCTCTTGGCCCTTCCTTTCGGTTTCAGCCAAGCTTGGCCCCACTCCTGGGCGAAGCATTTTAATGTTTGGAAACATGGGTATAACTTGTAATTAACCAGCAAACTGGATTCCAATGGTCCCAAAACTTGTTGGTTCTATGAATTTTATCCTGAGATAGCCGGAAAATGTTCAAACATGTCCAAAGATCACACACATATGTATCATTCAAGACCGTATCACTGGATTGGTTTCAGGGAAACATCTACAGGAAGCTTGTTACCCCAACTTTGAGGTTTCCTGTGAATTATCTTAAACCAAGTCTTGGAAATGACTGTACCCTCCGGTAACCAACCATAGCTTTTTTAATCCCCCATCTAGTTCCAGTGGATTTTCGCACAAAAATCCCCATGCAGAGGATTTTCCAGTTAGACACGTTTGATTGCCAGATGGTACATCATTATTACATCCCATTAAATCCTTGCCTGTTGATGGTGAAATCTCTATGAAACCCGCATAATCACCCGTTTTCCTACTTCAACCTCATTAAATCCCGTTAAATCACCACTTAAGTAAGCAACTTAGTAGGAAAACCTATGGAAAACCTATGGTTTAATGAGCTTTAATTTCTATGGTAACCCCCATACTCACCGCGACTTGGAGACGACTGGAGACTGGGACTTCGGACTTGTGACTCGTCCAGTTTCACCTTGCGATTACCAGAGCGGAGATATGGTGATTCAACTGGATTTGATGGAAGTTAACCATCCAAAATGGCGTTTTAATCGTGATTTAACCAAGAAATATTGTGATTTAATCAGATTTAATGGGATTTAACATGATTTAACCATCAAAAAAGTTATTTTATGCTGATCTAATGGTGTTCAATGGGGGTTAATGGATGTGTAATTGGGACATGGTGGAAGATATAACCAACAATAATATGTATATGGGTGCGCCATGATCGCAATTCTAACGGGGAAATAATGATAAATGATAACTCATTTCGGGGGGTACCCTATTTACAAACAAACTACTATGATGTGAAGTCCCATCGTTCAGTGACGTTTTTAGACTAGGAAGTGGACATGTCTGTGAAAACGTGCTTGTTTTCCTAGTTGGTAGGCCAAATTAGACCAAGTGGACATGTTTTATTTTTAACAATACACTGACCAGGTATCTTTCTTTGAGTTTTGTGCCCCATTGACTCAGCAACTCATCCCCCAAAAATACCTGGTTGGGGAACTGCTTCCATTTGGTCCTTACAATCAAAAACTATGAGAGATTTGATCGCATCACTGAAACTGATAGAGCAATTGTTTTTTTTTTTGTTTTAGGTTGCTGATCATCTGGTACATTCGCGGCTCAAAATTGGCGGTCAAGCCGTTGGAAGTAGCGTGTCTTTGAGGTCCTCATGGGCCCAGATGTTGGCCGTCTCGATCTATTGGGCTTCCCTACCAGTTGGACGGTCAAAGTCTTACTTTGGACCTCAGAGGGGTCGATTGTGGGTCCGATTTTTCATGGCATTCACATGTTTTAAGCCTTGATCAATGACATCCTCAGATATAAAATAGAAGGGACATGCTGGGGACGCTTCAGC